GAAGAAGAAGAGAGAGAGAGAGAGAGAGAGAGAGAGAGAGCGAGCTGGTTAGCTATGCATATCTTCTTCCAGGGAAGCAAGCTTTTTGTTTTTTATTTTCAATTAAATTCTGAAAATTTCCAAGCCCTCTAATGTGAGGACACTCACCTCACTTATTTTTACAAAAAATAAAATAAAATAAAAGATAAATAAGTACCCGCCTCTTTCCTAGTCCTGTGGTATTCTAACAAGCCCCCAATCTATTTCATCGCTCTCTAGATCCACAAATCTAGGAAATATTGTCTTTCTCTCTTTAACTTGCTATTCTCAAGAATGGGATTAGGGTCATGGTGGTAGCACCACTTGTGGCCCAGCTAAGGTCTAGGCTTCCATTCTCACGTAACGCATTCAAAAACCACTAACGATTTCAAGAAACGGGTAGGGGCTCGTCATCCCCACTGAATTACCCCAAAAAAAAAAAAAATTGCTATTCTCTCCCCAATTCCCAAAACTAGGAATCCTATGTGATCTACCACAGATGAAAACCAAAAAGTGAATCGCAAACTTACCCTTTGACAATTAAATAATGACCTTCATTATTTTCTTAAATTGCCCCCTGACAATAATCCCACCTTAATCCTCTATGTTTTAAATCCCCAATTAACCAATAACCATAAATAAGAATATATCTCTAACATTAAACAAAAAATTAGAAATACGAACTTTCTCGTGCATCAATTACTTTAGCTGAGAATTTGGAAGGGTATTATATGCATGTGTTAATTTTTTATGTCCTTTGAATAATCAATGGATTTTTTATTTTATTTTTAAATCTATAAATAAGACAATCATTCTTTGTTATGAATGCCTGTTAATTTGTTTTCATGATGTTCCAGCTTGATGATGCATTAAGTGCAGAGAGATTGCAAGATGGTAGAATTAAAGTCTGGGTTCATGTTGCTGATCCAACATCCTTGGTGGATTATGAGAGCCTCGTTAACAAGTGAAAATTTCTGCACTTCACATCTTTCTCTCTTTCCTTTTTTCCCCCCTTCTTTTGTGTGTTTTCTTTTGGTGTGGGAGTCACCATCACTTTTTTTTTTGTCCATATGTCTTTTCCTAATAGCACTTTTCTTATCATGCAGGGAAGCAATGAGAAGAGGAACGTCCATATTCTTACCCACTGCCACCTATCCCATGTTTCCTGAAAATCTTGCCATGGAAGGGATGAGCTTGAAGCAAGGAAGACGTTGTAATGCTGTCAGTGTATCGGTTATATTACATCCTGATGGAAGGTAAGATTCAAGAATATGCCCTATCTGTACACCTTAACTTTACACTGAGTATATGCTGCATCTGCAAGGTTTGCGAAAATACAAATTCATACTGTCATGTGTAATAAAAGCATTGCAGAGTACATGGTAGAGAACTCTGTAATCAGGCCTACATATATGATGACATATGAAAGTGCCTCTGAGTTACTGAATTTGAACTTGGAAGAAGAGACAGAACTGAAAATCCTTTCTGAGGCTGCAGCTCTTCGTTTACAATGGCGCCGTGGACAGGTCTTTTTCTACTTTCTCTGTTCTATGATTCATTTTGTGTAGGAACATGGAAAAGGTTAATAGTACAGCATACAGGTAGAAACAAAAAGATGGCTAATTTATTTCTTCAATGATTGTGTCTTCTATTTTTAGTGATCCAGCTATTTGAATAGGGGAATTGTGGAAATGATTAGTTAGTTTTACGAAATATATGTTGGAGGACATATGTGGTAACTTCTAATTGTCAAATTGATGATGTATTACTATTTTTAAATTATGATTCTCTTCTTTTAATAAGGAATGAAAATACGGAAATCAAGTTATGCTTGTGCAATGGGTAAGCATGTTGTACACAGCCTTCATATTGTATATACTACACAGCTGGGACATTCAATAGTCATTCTTAACGATGGACAGTGAAGATTAACCATACCTGCTCGAATGCCGGCATCGGAAACTATGGCTAACTGCATTGAGATCTTTTATTGTTATTTGTTGAAAATGGGTAACAAAATCAAACAATTTTTTTTTTTTGGCAAAATCAGTTCTGGATTTCTGATTAATATTGTCAGATCTTTTAATGTCTTTTTTCTTTAGATAAGTTGCTTTGAAGTAAAAAAATAGTTTTTATTTGATTTTTATTAGCTGAGAAAGTTTACAGGGTGCAATTGATACTTCAGCAATAGAGGCACGTATTAAGGTCAGCAACCCAGATGATCCGGAACCTTCAATCAATCTGTATGTCGAAAATCAGGCAGACCCAGCAATGCGTCTGGTTTCTGAGATGATGATTTTGTGTGGAGAGGCTATAGCCACTTTTGGTTCAGTTAACAATATACCTTTGCCCTATAGAGGCCAGCCTCAGAGCAATATATCTCCTTCTGCTTTCTCCCATCTCCCTGAAGGACCTGTTAGGAGCTTTGCCTATGTTAAAATAATGCGAGCCGCAGAGATGGATTTCAGGAAGCCTATTCGTCATGGGATTCTTGGCATTCCTGGTTATGTACAGTTTACATCGCCTATTCGCCGATATATTGATCTTCTTGCTCACTATCAGGTGATTTTTTTGTTTTTGCATCCTAGTTCATTAAGCTATTTAGTGGGTTCTCTTCATTTTCTGGATATGAATGATGTACTTTGAGTCTATTTCTATCCTGATAAACAAGCAAGTCTGTATTGACTAGAAAACATGTATATCTCTTATATTTAGTTTATCTTTGTTGTCTTTTTGGGGACTTCTAACATTTAAACGCTCAAAAGAGTAGTTAAATCTGAATAGAAGAAGAAATAATTGTGTTTTTCATGTACCCTAAAAAAGAAAGATCATGTTTTTACCATTTTGCAGGTCAAAGCTTTTCTGAGAGGAGCAGCACTGCCATTCTCAGCAGGACAATTAGAAGGTATAGCATCGCTAATAAGCGTGCGAGTCAAAGTTGCTAAAAATCTATTTAGTAGTAGTTTACGTTATTGGTTATTGGAATATCTACGAAGACAGCCAAAGGAAAAGAAATTCAATGCTTTGGTCCTCAGATTTATCAAAGATCGGATGGCAGCTTTACTTCTTGTAGAGGTAAAAGTAATTCCCACTATAAATAATCAATGTATGCTGTGATGTCACCGCTGTTTTTTATGCATCCTCTATGCACATGACACACATCATTGATTTAATATGCTGTTTTCTGGGGTGTGTATGTCTTGAAAGAGGGGCGGAGGGCGTTGTGTGCAGGGTGGGTTGGTGCCTTAAGCACAGACAGGGCAAGGGAAATAATACTCCACCCTTACCCGGCCAAGATATGTCAAAGGCGAATAATACTCCACCCCTACCCTGCAAACCTCTCTTTCCCACCCCCCTCCCTCCCTGTTCTCTCTCTCTCTCTCTCTCTTTCTTTTGCTTACAGCAGCTTTTTATTTTATTCCTTACCTTGTCTCATGGTGATGAGAATTTGTTTTTGCAATTTACTTGCAGGTTGGGATGCAAGCTTCTGCATTAGTATCAGTGGGTGTACAGATTGGCGATGAAATAAAAGTTCAGGTTGAAGAAGCTCATCCACGTAATGACTTCCTCTCCCTTAAGGAGGCCTGAAAAACCCCATTAAAGGTCCTGCAAGTGTAACCACTACAAAGAATTCGGCCCTGTGGAGCTTTAAGAATTATGTTGGGCCATCTTGGATCGGTAGCATCATAATCCATTATTTTGGCATCCGACCTGCCTCTCTACCTATCGTTTGGGGTAATTAGTCCTAGCCTCTTCCCACTTATAGCCATGGATTATCAAATCACCGATCCGGTTCGGATGCGATCAGGACCGTCCTGGTTCCTTCGTGGACCCAGGACTCGCTCCAGTGTTATACTGTTCACCCTTATTTGGAAGAAAAATGTTTTTTTTTCACCTGATCTACATTTTCTCCTTGTTCTCTCTCATTTCTCATCCTTTCTCGATGAAAATTTTCTCACAATCTTCATATTGCAATCCTCTATCAGATCTACAACAACGAATTTTAATCAAAACAGTTTCTGACAAGATAGAGAAATAAAAAATTGGGCACTTTTTTGAAAATCAGTTGACTGTTATACTTTAAATCCTTCTTTGGAAAGCGAAACTAACCTTTCTATCTACCATGGGAAATCTTATACAGGGAAGAAAAGAAATTTTCCAATTTTGGGTTTTCTCTCTCATGGAACCCTGGGAAAAATTCTGGAGGAAAAGGGCAAATGTGACATGGATTGCAGAGACGTGGGGCTATACTTTTCAAAAGCAGTTTTGGGAAAAATTCTGGAGGAAAAGGTCTCTCTAGTGATTCAGCTCGTTTTGTAATCCCACCTTCCAGTTTTGCAAGTATACATGTCTACTTGGAAGGAATCGATATTTGAGCTCAACTATCATAGATGAATTAGACCTACTCATTTGTATATTGCAGTTGTAAGAAATAATGAGTACTTGTTTTATATCTTTGCCTAATGTGTGCATTAATTGGGTCTAATTTTGCAGCTGTTCTGCCTGCTGTATCTTCAGATATGGTCTTTAGATAGTTAGATGTTAATGATTTGCAAGTAATTGGTTGCCCGTACATTCCTAGGTTTGATTGGAAGTAGTTTGTGGATGGTTTACAGAGAACTGCCAGATGAAAATAGGACCCTATGATCTTTGACGTTGTTCTCTGGGTCAAGGGGGATTTTCTAAATAATGTTTGAAAACGAAGAACAGTGAATACTTTCTAAAAAAAATGTTTGGAAAGTCTTGAAAATAATCGTATTTGCAACTCCAATATTTGAGAATGACACGTTACCTTCTAATTGATCATCTCAACATTGAGATGCATGCTTTTGATGTTAGAAAACTCTCTAATTGATCATTTCAAAATTGAGATGCATGAGTATAAAAAGAAAAAAAGATTTGAAGTATTAAAATTAATTTATCTTGTAACACATTATCTAGATTATCCATTTTTAAGATTTTAAAGTGTTATAGATCTATTTGATTTGAACTATTTTTTTAATTTAAAATTATATAATTAAAGATGGAAATAAATTCTCAAGCCATCCTCATAATTTTTTACAACAAAAATTTATTGATGATAAAATTTGGAGATGTGCCTTAATTTGAGGGATTGTTTATAAAGAGACCATTTGTCTTTTGTATAGAGAGGTTATAATCATTCCTGTCTGTTAAATTTTAAATTTAGTAGCTGTAAATCTAAAAAACAAGTTCTCGGATTTGTGATTCATCTTAAACTATCCAATTTGACATCTAATGAATGAGAATGATTGTGACATTCATGATAAATGATATCTTTATATGTAATCTCTTAATTTGATTGTTTAGGGTGACAACCTTATACAAATCACACCCTTTAAAAAGGGTTTAGTTTGTAACGAGCTGAGGTTTTAAACAAAGTAAAGCGTACTTTCAAATGGTATCGAGAAATGTGATTTCAATACTGGAAATCTTTGTGATAACTTTAAAATATATTTCATATTTAACTATAAAATTTAAAGCTTCAAAAATAATGTAGATTGAGTGGATATATGAAAATCTTGAAAATTGACCGTCCAAAAATGAATCATAAGATGCACTATTTCCAAAACTTGAAATCCATTTTTTTCACATGTTCATGCATCTTAATGTCAAGATGATCAATTTGAGGATGTTTGGGGTTCAAAACAACTTCTTCTAATGAAATTTTAGAGGTGGGTTCTAATTCGATTGTTTAGAGCCTCGGCCCTATATAAACTTTTTCTTATCTAAAAACCGTCCATGAATAAAGATCCTCTGAGATCGTGCTATATTTAATAGTGATCATTTGAAGTCCTACTCACAAAAGTGTGTGAAGGTTTTAGAGGATCATTACTCATATTTATATCCATTTTTTTTTTTTCCCTCCAAATTGCCTTTAATGTGCGAAGTGTACACAAGACCTTCAAGGTTCGAAATTTTCTTAAGATCCATCTTGGCATTGCCAAAAAGTGGCTTTTGGGATTTGGGAGCAACTTAGGACTTTCAAAGTCCAAAATTAGAGAACTTTGGACTTTCAATGGTCCTAAGTTTAGGTTTTTGGGATTAGTTGAGCCACTTGGGCAATGCCAAAAGTGGCTCACGGGATCCGGGATCAACTGGGGACTTTCAGGGTCTTAATTTTGAGAACTTCGGAGCTTGAAGGTTCCAATTAAGGATTATTTTGTTTATTAAAAAGATAAAAAAAAAACAAAATATAAATATCATCATAATAATCATCATCCAAACTTTATCCCAACTATTTGGGTACATGAATCCTGTTCTGTCATTCACCTCTAAGTCTCTACTCTTAAGCAATGCTGTATTAAGTCTACATTCCACATGACTAACTCACCTTAAATTTATTTTCCATCATCTTATCTTTTATTAGAGCCACCACTAAGTTCCCCCACATGTATTCAAAATTCTCATAAGTAAATGGCGTAGATGAGTGACATCCATCATGGAAATGTTTATCTCTGCCGTCCATTTGTGATGACAAACGCTGTAGATGATACGCTTACCTTGTTTTTATGCATGTCCATCAGCTAGCCCTTAAGAGAACATTGGCTCATCTCCACCGTTGATGAAGAGAAAATGATAGATTAAGGTCTGTGTAAAGGATGTCCATAGTCCATACACGAGACATTCACATTATATTACTCTCACTGACACCGGTGTATATTTAGGCATACTACACAAGCGAGATTTCTTACATCGTCACCACATGAGAGCCTCTGCGATTTTCTCTTTGGTTCTCATCATGTTTAGGGTTTCGCGATTTTGTTTCTGATGTTTTGATGGAAGCGTGATACACGATTGGTCATTACTTCGGCTTGTTTTCATGCGCAGCTCCTTTTAATTCACCTTTTACTGAGAGGTATGTATCAGTTGTTATTGTTGTTTTCGAACCATTTCTTGATTTCTTGAGCTTTTCCTCAGTTATTGGGTCTTCTGAGATAATTCAGAGGAAAAATGGGATTCGATAAGGCAGGGATTTTATTGTTTTGTAGTTCTTATATGGCTACGATTCTGTGTTGCTTTGGGCATTTTACTGTGCAGGTTTGATTGTCCATGTCTTTTGATTTTCTGAAGAATTGTAGGATTTTTCACTGAATTTTATCTGGTTGTGATGCTCCAGAGAAGGCATGGTGAAGGGAAATAGCAATAACATGGACGTCAATCCTGAGTTAGAGCCTGTTGAGAATGATGCGAAACCAGAAGCCCCTGAACCTGAACAGCCATTGAAGAAGTTGAAAGTAGAAGAACCAAAGACCAGTACTGAGATACCTGAAGGGGAAGGGAAAGAGAAGAAAGGAGGGAAAGACAAACCAGCAGAAGAGAAGAAAGGAGAAAGGGAACGTAAGAAAGAAGGGGAAGAGAAACAAGAAGAAGTGAGAGTTGATAAGAAGGAAGAGCAAGGAGAGGAGCCAAAGAAGAATCTCAAAAAGCAAACAAAGAAGAAGAAGAAGAAAGGCGGGGATGGGGGCACTGTGCAAGGGAAGAAAGAAGAAGCAGGGGAGAAGCAAGAAGATGTGGGCAAAGGTAAGAAGGAAGAGCAAGTAGAGGAGCCAAAGAAGAATCTCAAAAAGACAGAGAAGACGAAGAAGAAGAAAGGCGAGGGTGAGGGCACTGTGCAAGGTGGCAATGGGAAAACAGCTGATGGGAACATGGAGAATTCGAAGGGGAAATCAGAGAGCATGGGTATGATATTCATGTGTAATGCACAGACGAAAAAGGATTGTTTCACTTACAAGGTGCTGGGTTTGCCTGGGAGCAAGAAGGAGCTTGTGGCTAAAGTATACAAGGGCATGAGGCTTTTCTTGTTTGATGTTGATCTAAGGCTCATGTATGGTATTTACAAGGCATCAGGGCGTGGGGGTTACAATATCGAGCCAAAAGCCTTCAAATCTGGTTTCCCTTCCCAGGTCTGCCATCTCAATTCCCTTCTTTTTTTGTTTGGCCTTCTTGCTTTGCTTGTGGCATTGTTAACTTTGTCTTTTGTGGATATTTGTTATTCACATTGGCTTGGATTTATGTTTTCTTGGTAATTGGATATTTAGTTTGAAGAGACTTATAATGCTTCTTGAGAACTGTGGTTTTTAGCTTCGGGGTTATTGATATCTTGGCTATACGATGCTTGTGTAACTTGCAGGTATATTCAAATTCTTGGCTACTTTAGGTGTATGTTTAGCTTGAAAGATATTTACTTCTGCAGTTTATGGGTGTTTTTTTGGCTTGGATATACAAAGTTTCTTGGTCAATGTATGTGATTGGGGGACTGTCAGGTTTCAACTATGGGGAAATAAATGTGTATAAACCTATTGGGAGAGGTGGTTAGAATGGTGAGATTTGCCTCATGGCATTCAAGGATTGAATCCCCCTGGTAACCTATTCAATATGAACGTTACTGGATATATGTAGTTACTGGTAATCGCATCAGCCTCATGGCCAATAAAAATAAATAAAAGGAATTTGCATTTGTCCCATATTACTATCTATGTTCAATCCTTCTAGCCTGCAAATGTGAAGTAGAAAGCTTTGGAGAAACATGACCATTGATTAGTAGGCCTTAGGTTGCTTTTGTTGGCTTTTGATTGTTTCTTGACAACAGTTCCTGGGTTTACAGCTAGGTCATGGGTGATTTTGGAGGAGAAAATTTTTTCTCTCTGTTTAATAGTTTCAACTGTTAGTTGTACTGAGTTTTGAAGAACAGTTGCACAAGTGCTTCATAAAAGTGGGGTTCTCTTATTCATATCATTGAAAGAAAAAAAGGCAGTTCTCTATCTTTTTTTTCAGGAAAAGAAGGGTTCTCTAATGCTTTTTGTTTTATGGGCCATTTCATGGTACTTTTGTGGGAATATTATGGTCTTCAAGATAGTAGATCATGTTCTGATCATTAGCATGCGTGCATATGTGGTGTGACACCTTGTATTAGGCCATCCCATATGTATGGTGGCTGGCTCAAGACATTCTAAGAGCCTTAAGGTGAAACTAAGGTGTGGAAAGCCTTCCTTCAATTTGCATTTGTAGATATGATTTGTACTTTTGATGATGCTTTCGTTGCTTAGTTTAGGTCAGTGTTTCAAGAAGCGCTAGGCGGTCAGGGGGGTCCATGCCGCCCAAAACCTGGGCGGCCCCGTAGATTTTTTTTTTTTGGGATTTTCTCTCTCTAAAATAGCCTCTAATGGGTTTTAGGTTTCAAATGAACCTAAAACCCATAATTTTGCCCTTCAGTATTAAACAAATGACCAAAAAATACCCTCAAGGAGTCGCATTTCCGCCCCTGGGCGGCCGCCCGGACGGGCGCCAGGGATATCCGCCTAGTTTGGCCGCCTAGGCCTGGGTGATGCGCTTAGGCCTTCTGGACTGCCTGGCAGCCGCCCAGGCGCTGGGCGGTCCTCTTTTTAAAACAATGGTTCAGGTAATTTGTGATGGTAAGTGTCACGGAGCTAATTTTCACTTGGCCAACCCGTGCTATGATAATCCTAATTGGAACCCAAACTAAGGCAGGTTAACGGTCTGGTCAACCCATATCACAGATCATTACTGCCCATGCTTGCCAATTCAAGCATTCATGGCTATTAAATACCTATCATTGGTCACACAAGCCCAGTAAATATGCATTCACACTCTCTTATATTGCTTGGGACTATTACACAAGCCCATGTTTGAGTCAGTTACATAATTTGAGTCCCACTTTTATTATCCCTAGTCAACACTTCCCCAATCTAGTTGTATGGTCAGCCTTGCCTCTTGCAAATGGGTCATGCCCTTGTTCTAACTAGTTGCGCTGGTGATGTGTTAACTACTCAAGCCAGTGTCATTAGGTTCTCTTCGGAAACTGCTTTGTTTTGGCCTAAATAAAAGGTGGTGATTTGGCCGATTTCAAGGTAAGTCCTTGGGTATGTTTAAAACTAAAAATTATAGATAATAAAAAAATATTACTAGAGGAAACTTTATAATTTAAAGCGAATTATGAGTTAAAAATTTATAAAAAATTTAAATATCATTTTTTGAAGACGGTGAGAATATAATATTTCTATTTATACCATTACAAAAAACCTCACGAGGATTGTGTGGAAGGCAATCTCCAAGTCGGGTGCTCTTTATTTGAAAAAAAATAGTATAAGAGCTAGTATAAGAAAGTCCAAAAAGTGGAGAGGCTATAGACTTCCCATGTGCCTTGTGCTCTACAATCAGTATAAGAAAATCTAAAAGGCAGGGAGAGGATGTAGGCATCCCACATGTCAGATCCTCTACAATTAGTAAGAAAAAGAAAAAGTATAAGAGAAAGGAGGAGAAGGTGATAGTAAATGAGAGAGGATGTGAGCCTTTGAGCAATGCACGTCAAAATTACATCCAAATAGAGTAGTGTATGTGAGTTGGTGGAGGAAAGAGAAAAATTGTGAGGAGAGAGGATAGGATGTTTGGGGGGGGGGAAGAGATGGTAGTCGTAAAAAACTAAAAAGGAGAGAGGTGTCGGGTAGTACAATACGAGAGAAAATAGAGGTAGCATGGAGGGAAAAGAAGAGGGTCAGGAAAGGAGGAAGAGGTGGGGAATAACAGGGAAAGGAGAAACCCTCTACCAAAAAAACAAAAAATCCAAACCTTGCCCCAAGAAAAATAAAAATCCAAAAAAGAAGAAAAAATGATATGATCAAGAGTTGTTTGTCTTAAGTGGTGCTTCCCTTTGGTGCTCCTTTAGCTAGAGGTTAGCCCATAGTTGTTGGAAACGCCTAGGAACCTGAATCGTTTTAGGAATCGGAATCGTAGAATCACAGCCGGTTAGAAGATTCCTGTCTTAGGAATCATTGTCCGTACAATAGGAATCACTAGGAACGAGATTCTTAGTTTTTGAGAATCATGTTTCGACCGAAAGAGATCCAAGTTTCATCCACCTATGGAATCGAGATTCCATCCTCCTTGGAATAGGAATTTCCATCCCCCTGGAATCGACACTCCAGTAGTCAAGGTCCTTTAATATGCAGAATCGAGTTTCCGACATCTATGGAATCAAGTTTCTGACATATGTGGAACATAGATATGTTGTTTCGAACCGGGATTCTAACATATTTGGAATCAAGTTTTTAAATTATATAAATCAGAGATCTATGCCAGATTGCAATAATATGGACTATGGAATGTGTTTGACGACCCTTAATAGGAATCAAGATTTCATTTTTATGAAGAAGGAAGCCACAAGAACATCTTGAGCCTCATCAACTTTAGAACCAATATTGGATGTCTCTTATTCGAAGGTTTGTCGAATTTTAAAGTGATTGTGTTGACTATTGAACTTATGGTCGTTATATACAAAAAGACAAGTATTCCTAAATTGTGATTTGACTTCATTATTATAAAGACAAAATAGGATTATGTCTACGCCATGGTTTTACTTTAAATTGTATATGTTGTATTTACCAATTATATTTTAAATTTAAAGTAAAGGCCATCCAAGATTGCACAAGTAAAATAATGAAACCCTGCAACCACTAGAAGCATTCGAAGGAAGATTTCTACTCCAATTGACATGGAATCAAGATTTAATCCTCGCTAGAATCCAGATTCATTATATTTGGGAATGTCTACCCACAATTAATGGGTTCAAGTTTTCAAAGATGTGTTGGATCGAGATTTCGAAATTAAGGAATCAAGTTTCCTTGGTTCCGATAAATGGTTTCTAAAGATGTGTTGAATTGAGATTCCAAAATTAAGGAATCAAGTTTCCTTAGTTCCGAAAAAAGTTTTCTAAAGATGTGACGGATCGAGATTCCGAAATTAAGGAATCGAGTTTCCTTGGTTCTGAAAAACGGTTTTCATGGAGATTCCTTAACGGAAACGGGAATCAGGTTTCGGAACCGGAAATGCGACGTCAGTGGATAGATTCTGATAACTATGGGTTAGCCTCCCACTAAGTATTCTGGAAGGCGACTGGAAGCTGTCTACATATATAAAAAATGTGATAAATACCATGGGATGGACTCCAAGGCTGCTGGCCCTTTTAGATAGCCTATAGGGTGATGTTCTTGGAGTCCCCCCTAGCAATGAGATCTTCTCCCCAAATTGGGTTGAATCTCGTAAGACCTTCGAGCACTGCACATGCCCCTGCCTATGTTGAATCACCTACAACAAGGAAGCCGTGGGAGGAGGATGTTGTTCATTTGGAGCCTCGGGATAAGCCCCGAAAGCCACAAGGACCAGGGTTGCCCAGAGAACACCCATCCACATTGAGCTTGATGATGCCTGAATTGGAGGGATCCACAAGGTGTACGTTGTTAACTTCGAGGGTTTATGGTTAATGATGTTGGATCAATTGGAAATAAAGTTGTAGTTGGGGTTTTGGAAAATGCTTATGCGTGTTTGATTGGTGGATGAGACATCTTCCAAAGCAGCTTCTTCCACCAACTCCAAAAGTGGCGGCTTCCATGACGTAGCATGGAAGCCTCGGATTTCCCCAAATCAGCTTCATTCACACTTCCCGTGCAAAACATGCTGGAAGTGCTACTATTGTGGAAGTCTTGGCCTCCACAAAACAAACATGCTCTTAAGGTCTTTGAAGTTAGTTGCCCAAAAGATGGTAAGGTCTCTGGCACACTCTGCAAAAGCCAATGTTATTTACTTTTTCTCTGAAATTGTTGAGTTCGGCTCTCCTTAAATGGTCCGTTAGAATAGCTTGGACCAAAACTCTCTAGATGAAGAGACGTGCTTTGGGGTAAGGAGGACGGAGAATTGCAGAGATGAGTTGTTCGATAGATAGAAGGGTAATCTGTTGCTAGATGATGTCCCGCAAGACATGAGTTTGCAATGAGGCAGCAAGACTACAATCAAAGAACAGTTGACTATGAGTTTCTTCCACTTCGAGCCATATACAACATCTGGCAGGGGGAATCCTCTCCTCTGTAGATGATCAACTGTTAAATTATGG